GGGTGGCCTTCCTCGGGCCACTGCTCTGATATGGTGGAGCTGTGTCGGAGGGGAAACAGCCGGGAGGCTGTTTATCTCCATGAGGGGCCTCTGAGCTGTGCTGCTGCCCAGGAGGTTAGGGTGCCCATAGATCCCTGGGATTTCCAGCTGCTGGGCTAAGTGTCCTGGGACGCTTCCATCCAGCTGTGGGGTCCTTGTCCCTTTAAGACTTGCAAAAATCACTCGCTTTTCTTTGTCCTGGGGTGCACCGGCTGTGGGGACCTGCTCACAGGTCTTACTGTCCTCTTTCCCTAGTTTCTAGCACCCCCACGCACATACTGTGTGTCTGCACTCCTGGTGCAGATGGCTAGGCCTGGGTGTTTAGCAGTCCTGGGCTCCCTCTCCCTCCCTGCTCTGACTCCTCTCCTCCCACCGGGAGCTGGGGTGAGGGGCGCTCAGGTCCCGCTGGTTCGCGGCTTGTATCTTACCCCCTTCGCGAGGTGCTGGGTTCTCGCAGATGTGGATGTAGTCTGGCTGTTGTCCTGTGTCTTCTGGTCTCTCTTTTAGGAAGAGTTGTATTTGTTGTATTTTCAAAAATATATGTGATTTTGGGAGGAGATTTCCGCTGCTCTATTCACGCTGCCATCTTGGCTCCACCCTGTTCATATGCTTTTTATGAAACATAAAACTGAACAGATTCCCCTGAACACAAAGGAGTTGAGTTTGGGGGACTTCTCATTGGAATTGCTTTGTTTCCCTGTACTGTATTTGGAAAATTTTTCTGGATGCCTAAATGAATGGGCTACAGTGAGCTTAATTTTTACTGACTGATTCCTTGAACAAGTTATTAGTAATGTACATTGTGAAACCAGTCAGAGTGTATATTCACTTTGGGGTGTGCAGAGAGTAGTGGAAGACTGTTCAGCCATTCTTTGACACTTGATCTTAGCTTATAAACTATTTGTGTAGGGAGCAGACCAGATAGGTTCAGGCCCCATGCCCCTGCATCATATTTGAGAGCTCCTGCTGTTGTATGCCCTCTTACCCCTGCCCACCTGGATTATGACACACTGTTTTAAGTATCATTAAACTTCTCTGTCTCCTTCACTGGACCTTGGGCTTCTTGGGCATTTGTTTCTCTTCTCTGTCCTCAGCACTCAGCCCAGTGCTGGGCCTAGAGTGGGCAAGGGAGGATCTGTTGGCTGAGGGAGTGAGGTGCGTCGGTCTATTGGATGGTAGCCCATGTGTGTTGCCCCGTAGGTGCAGTACCACCTGATGCTGCACATCCAGATGCAGCTGTGTGAGCTCTCACTGTGGGACTGGATCACGGAGAGGAACTGGCGGGGCCAGGAGGCTGTGAACGAATCTGCATGTAAGTTCCCTGTGGATCTGTAAATGCCCGGCTGGGAAATGGAGAGTCAGGTGTTCTAACGTCGGAACTGCGCACAGCTGCTTTAGATTGAGTGGGGGATATGATTTTTTTTAAACCAAAGAAACAATTGTGCTTATTTCAGCATTTTTTCAAAAACACATAGGTATTTGGAAGTTAATTTTCTCTGTGACAGATACATAGTTTATATCAACAAATTGTGTTTAAGAAGTAATGTGCTAGAATTTAGGTTAATGATTTTGGGTAGAACAGGTCTTGTAAAAAAATTTTTAAGGAAAAGATTTAAATACTTATTTTTTTAAACCTGGCAATGTGATACTTTTATGTAAAGAAACTTTGGAGAAACCCTTGCAGAGGGATATGTGGTGAAAAGTCTGTCTCCTTCAAGATCCAGAGCCTCCTCCCTCCCCAGCAGTTATACATCCTCTAGAAATGCTTTGTTGGGATAATATTTTCAAAATATAACTGATTCTGAACTTATGCTGTGCATTAGAACTACCTGGGGAATCTAAAAAAAGAGTATGGTGGAGAGCTGTGACTTCACAGTGGAGAGACCTGCAGATGCGACCTCAGCCAGTGACTCAGGTCACCGTCAGCAGTGGTGACTCGTGCTGACTGTGCGTGCCCATGATGTGGTGAAAAGGGCATTGTGTCTCTGGGGTCTGCCTCCCCAAACCCCAGGCCCTAGGCTAATCATGAGAAAAGCAGATCCCCCATTGATGGATAGTCTATAAACACCGGACCAATACTTCTCAAAACTGTCAAGGTCCTCACGCACGGGAAAAGTCAGAGACACTGTCCCAGACCAGAGGAACCTTAAGTCACATGACAGCTGAAAGTAGTATGGTATCCTGGGTGGGATCCTGGAGCAGAAGAAAAACATTAGCTAAAGCCTAGGGAAATCTAGATAGACTGTGGGCTTGTGTCAGTACTGGTGCATTAATTATGATAGATGTACCTTACAGTAAGCTGTTAATAATGGGAAAGTGGGTGTGGGGTAAGCAGGAACTCTACCTAATCTTTTCAGTTTTTCCATTTTAAAAGGGTGTTGTCTGGGACCACAGCAGTAATTTATATATGGTTGGTCTGGATAGGGCTTGGCCTTTGGTATTATTTGTTTTTTGAAAGTTCTCTTGATTCTCATGTATAGTAGCTAGAGTTAAAAATCATTGTATTCAGCCCTTGTACTGTTCACCATGTAAGAATTTATTCCCTATGTAAGAATTCGTTCACCATGTAAGAACTTGTTCGTTATGCTTCAGAAGATTGGAGACTGACGAGAATTAGGCTTGAGATGGATTAATGATTGTGCATTGAGCATTGACCCCCCTATACAGAATTTTATTGTTGTTAACAACCATTTGATCAATAAATATGAGAGATGCCCTCTCAAAAAAAAATCTGCATTAATAATCAGAAATGCTCTCATTTATTTTTGCATTTAAAAGTACCAACAAAACTATACTTCATATCAGATTATTTTAATACTTAGATTCACACAGTCAATTGTTTTTGACCACAAAGCGACGACCGTGTATTCTGAAGACTTCTAAATATCAAANGTTAGTTAACCTACTCAAAATCTTTGGCTAGTTTCTGATGCAGACAGAAACATCGTGTCTCCCTCCAGCAGCTCCTGGACACCCTGGGCTGCTCTAGTTTGCTCTGTCATTAGGACATGCCAGGCTCTGCTTGGTTCAGTCGAGGCAAGTAGTGTGTGGGGTGTGTGCAGTGTCCTGTCAGGTCATGTCCTCCGCCTGCTGCCTGAGCATCATAGTGCTATGTGCAGGTGTGTTTGTGAAGAAGAGACTGGTTTAGTCAGGTCCTGTGTGTGGTTGCTGATCTTTACACTTCCATTTGGAAAGTGAGTACTGAGTCCCTTGTGACGTATGTGGTGAGAACTCTTAATTTATACCATCCAGTACCAACCTGTCAAAACAGAAGGCAAAATATGTATAGTACTCCTAGTTATGTATTTCTTAAAAGTGTTTAGAAATAAAAAGTTTAACTTGGTAGTATTCCAGCTGTGTGTGTATAGCTTTCAGTCAGTTGTATGTTTACGTTCCTCATTCCCAGCAATCCCAGGAGTGACAGACCCAGGTTGGAATCCTGACTCTCATCCTTACCAGCAGTAAGGTCTGGGGCAAGTCATGTTTCCTCACCTGTAAAGTGGATCGTCCCCCCATTTTCTAGGGTTAGAGATGTAGCACTGAGTGAATGGAACCTTACCCCTGGATTAGGTCCGTGTGTGATTCTGAACCCTCTGATGGATTGTCTCTCCATTTGGATGTGTTGGGTTAAAATGAGAACCATAGTTAAGTACTTGAGTTCTTTGTGCTCCATGCTCGGTAACATAAGGGAGAGGGTGGAGTAGGTGAGCTGCAGAGCAAAGCAGGCTTCTGAGGAGAAGGGAGGAGTGGAGAGTGGTGTTCTGGTACTTGAAGGTAAATACTAGGTTTATGACTTAATGGGATTGAGTCAAGAAGTGCTCCTAACCTCTTATGACATTACTAAGCTCACTTGGCTGGAAGACTCCAGGATTTTTTTCTTCATCAATTTTGTTTACTTTAGTCCTGCAAAACCTCTCCACCCTCTAAATTCATGTATTATGTCATCATGTTAATAGATGAATTAATTAAATCCCCCCCGCATATATTTCATTTTTCATTGGTCAGTCATTTTTGGAAAATTCAACATTACAAATCTTTCAGGTAATGGAACTCACCCCTTGAGCTAACACAGTTTTGTCTTTTTGCATATTCTGTTATTTGTAACAAGGTCTTTAATCTGCAGTGGGCTAGGAGACCAGGTTTATTAGCATTAAACCCCAAGATGTCAGGGATTGGCGGGGACTTAAACCTAATTTAATCCAGCCAGTTGATGCCAGAGAATTGTCTACAAACTACTCAATACAGGGACTCTGCATGAAATTAAAGGTCCTCTCTTTCTGGTGACATAAAGTCCATAAGCCATTAGGTGCTGGTTTGTGAGGGCTGCTTTGCCAGCTGAGTGCAGCTAATTTCTAGGTTTGAAGCCATTTCAGAATGTTGACTATTGAAAAAATCTGAACAATGTTAATGTATTTAATGTCTTTAGAGCTCCATTTAACATTTAGATGTTAATGTAGTAAGTAAAAAAAAAAAAAAGGTTTACTTTTTTTTTTTTTTTTAACTCCAAGGTCCTTATGTTATGGCCAGTGTTGCGACAAAAATTTTTCAAGAATTGGTGCAGGGTGTATTTTACATACATAGCATGGGAATTGTACACAGAGATCTGAAGGTAAGTGGTGGAGACAGAATCACTGGAAGCAATGGAAACTTATCAGGGATGATGTGCTATGAATTCATTGAATTAAATGAAGTTATGTTAATTTACTTAGGTGGTTATCATTTTTATAAATCATTGTTCCATAGGTCTGGAACTTGAAAACTGCAGTTTGAATTTAAGAGCGGTAATCTTTGGGCATTTGGAAATTCTCTGTGGAATAGTGGTACTGTTTTTTAGGTAGTAAGTGTGCTCTGAGTACCAGTATAATTGATAGGCTTAATGCTGACAAAAATGCTCACATATTATTGCAGCCTTAGAGGTAAAATTTTTTAAGATAATTATCCACCTTAAAGGAAATGTAATTGGAAATTTTTTATGCTGCTCTTAAAAATCTATAATTCCTATTAAAATTTTTATCCACAAAAGAGAATCAAAAAAGAAAATATATTTACCTCTTTGGCTGGAAACTTTTAGATTTATTTGCTTTTTAGGTGAAAATTAAATCTTGGAAAATTCATTTAAAGGACTATTTAGGAACAAAAGTTAATGTGCAAGTCATTTTATTTTTTGACAGAAGTTTAAGAACCAGTAATTTGTTCATTTGGGATGTAGAAGATGATGAGTTAAATATTTTCTGGGTATGTGTCTAGCCAAAAAAATGTGATTTGAGTGTGTGAAATTCTCTGGCCTGTGGAGTTTGGAGATCTATTTCAGGAGGTAAGCTGAGTCATGACTGTATATGGAATTCCACATCTTCACTGGGAGAAGTTGCTTCAAGTGATGTTTGTGTTTCTCACCATAAATATTTCTGATGACTCTTTTACAGATATCCTCTAGGGATAATGGTTTTTGAGATAACTTTATGAGGGTTTCCCTTAACAGGTGGAATTCTGGTAGCATGATTCCTGCAGGTAGAGCCCCTTGGTTATTGGTCAGCCTCAGAGGATAAGAGCAATAGAGTAGCTTGGTAAGAAGTACCCTGTCTCTTAAATTGGAACTGTGCTGGAGGTACATATATATCGGAGATTCCCCATTTCTTGTTAATATGTTAACATTTGCTTCATATTCGAGCAGGAGATTTATTATTGCCTCTCTGCCTCCAAAACAAGCCTCGTGGATAGCTGTTTGACCTTCATGGTCCTGGGCATTTACTGTGGCTCCGTGAGTCAGCAGCGAACGGATGCAGCTCACCCCCGCTGCCAGCAGTCGGCCTGCTTTGCTGGATGCGGTGCACACCGCCAGCTTCAGGGCCGTGCTCCCTGTACAAGAGACAGCACAGTTAACGTTTGCTCCGCAGGCAATTAGCATTTCCGTCATCTCCTGGTTCAGTAGCTCTGCAGCCATGTGGAGGGGAGTCATGCTGGATTCATTTGTAGCATTGACCTGGGCACCCTTCTGGGCTAGAATGGAGAGCACCGGAGAGATCCCATGTGCTACGGCCAGGTGGAGGGGCGAATATTCGTTACTGTCGTCCACCCGAGCGTTCACGTGAGCTCCATGCTCACACAAAATGAGGAGGCACCTGACCGCGTCTTTCTGAGTGTCTGTCAGAGTCCTTTGGGTTCTGTTCCCCAGCTTTGTCCACATGGTAGAAGTGATGGGCCAGTGCAGTAGCATCAGGTGAAGGGTGGTAAAGCCCCTTGAGTCCCTGGAATGGGTTGATCGGAGATTACACTAAATTCACAGTGGGAGCTAGGTCTGGAAGAATTTGTGTTTAAGAAGGCAACGTTTATTAAAAATCATCCCCCTCAGTTACTTTAAAACCTGTTTGAAATCTGCATTGCTAGGATATCATAGTGTTTTTTGGGAACAGAGTGGTATCATAGCATGGAGGGGCCCAGCTTCCCACAGCGGTTGGTTTCAGGTTGGTTACTCTTGTGAGGACTGGCCTCTTGAAGACCATGTCATAGTTATTTCTGTGCCCAGCACTTGGTGCTGTGTGTTCAGTAAAGCTGTGTGGCCGTCACTATCACTGGGAGTTGCCGGAGCTGTGAACCATAAAGGGCCACAACTCCCCCTGACTCTGTTCTTAGTGGCTCTGCATCTGCGCCTCACCCTGACATTTTCCCTCAGAGGTAGGACAGGGTTGGGGTCTGGAGACCCCAGTCACTCTGAAGTTTGTGAAGCTACTTCATCTTCAGTCCCTACTCCAGTGCAGTGGGATAAGTGTTTTACAACTTGGCTCTCATCTAGTCCTTTATTGAATCTCTCAGGATTGCCTCCAAAAATTACTTTATTTTGGCAGAGAAAAGGGAAGGCTTATTATGAACATCCAACTGTTTAGAAAATGATTTTCAGGTTACAGAGATTGATCAGTGCAAAGCCCTATGCTAGGTGCTAGGGACACGGCGAAACAGCATGTGGTCCTGCTTTTGCAGGGCTGACCATCTAGGATGGGCAACTTAAACATACATAACAATTATGTCAATGCAGCAAGTGGACAGAGTTCTAGAGAGGTATGAGGGCCTCCCTGAGGGATGGCCTATGGTTTGAAGGGTAGGAAGGGGTGTCCTGAGGAACCCCTGTGAGCATGGGGTGAGCTTGTGCTGGGCAGTGGGGGGTGGTGGCTGTGGGAGGGCTGGGAGAGCTGTAGGTGGGGGTACAGCATGAGAACAAGGCAGGTCAGGGGCTCTTCTGGAGCAAAGTAAGGATTTGAGACCTGTCATGCGTTTCCTCCCCACCATTGCTGAGTGCTTCATATTCAGGGTGCTCTAAGTGGGCTGATTTGTGTTCTCACACTGTTCCCAATTTTCAGAGTATCTCATCTAGTCAATGAAGAAACTGATTAATTCGAAACATGATAATTTACGGTCCACAGACCTTGAAGAATGGGAGAGTCCAGACATGACTGGGAAAAGCAGCATCTGAGTCGCGTGTATCCTCATTTAGATACGCTCGCCTGTTGAGTTGACTTACCTTATTTCTGGGTCAGCACCATGTTCTAATAAACAAAGCAGGCTTTGTGCCTTGCAGTATTTGGCAGCCAGATGAATGGGCATGATGGGCTGTGTCTGCTTCAGGGCGAAAAACCAAAATATATTACAAGCAGCCATATGCAGTGAGAAATAATAATTGTGTTAGTTGGCTATTTCAGAGGAAATGAGTATATTTAGTATTTTGTTAGTTCAGTTTTTTTATAGTATGTGCATTGAAATTTTCCTTTTCATTTTTTGCCTGTTTTTCTTTTTTTTTAATAACCCCAGACCAGTGAATTTCATAGTATAAAATCTGGTCTACATAAATGCAGATTTACCAAGGCAAAGAAATAACTGAAAACTTTAAAAATTGATTCTTGGGAAGAGCTCATAGTGTCAAATTAAACCTAATTGCTGTTACATGACATAGTCCTTAAGTTAACCCTCAGGGTGATTGACAAGTAAGTTTGGTGTTTTTTTTAAACTTTACCAGAGTTATAGTAACAGGAGTAAAACCTGCCTTTTCAGGGTGTCAGAGATAACACAGCCTATGTTCTGTCTGATTAGAAGAGCTGTTTCTGCCAGTTCTTAAAATGCATACGTATAGGCTTTATAGCATGACTTCAAGATAACGGAAGAGGGCAGGGTGACTTCAGGGAAAAAAAATTAATTATAAAGGTAGTATTGAATAATAACTTAAAAATTAAAAAGTATATGTATAAATGGGAAAGTAATTCCATCACACAGATGCAATCCCTGTTGGTGCACTTGAGAGGATAACATTGATGTTCCTCCAGCCAAACGAGCTCTAGTCGCCATCAGTTTCTGTGTGGAAACAGGAAGGCAGTCCCCTGGCTGGCGAGTGTATCTGCCGGTGGCCTGCCCCACCTTGGGCTCAGGAAGGCCACCAGGGGGTTTAGTGGGTTCATGAGGCAGTAGTCCCTGCGGAGCATCACGCCTGATTTGTGAAAGTGCCTGAGCAGGAAAGAGGGTACCTGGGTCGATAGGAATCTGTGGCTGGTGGAGTTGGCTAGAACAGTCACAGGCTGGTTGATGGGGTGGCTGCTCAGGAGCACCTGGATCACGGTGCAGTCTTCCCTCATGATGGCTGCGTAGAGCTCAGTGTGCAGCTCTGTGCGTGGGCCTTCCACCAGGGACAGAGCACCGTCCCCCTCCAGTCCCCTGCTGCCTCTCTTGGTTATGTTTCCCATGAGAAAATCGTTAAGAGTGAGGACGTAAGGGCTCAGGGGAGACTTGTTACAGGATTGGTGGGATTGAGTCTCTTTATGACCCTTGAGTTCAGTTCTAGAACCATTCCTGAATTGTATCCGTGAACACAATTCTTTTTTATTTCTGGGCCAAACTTTTTCAGACTTTGTTCCTCTATCATACAGTGTCCAATGTAACCACCGTTGTTAGGACTTTCTACTGAGTCACAGAAACATTGAATGGTCATCCGGCACATAAGATCATTTCTATTTTCTCATCCCATTCAGCTCTAGTTCAAAAAACTAACAAAGCTGAAACAGGAATAAAGACATTAAAATAAAAAGTTAAAGTTATTACACTTAAAGTAAGAAAGCCCAGCTTTCAACCTAAATATTGTTTAGTTTTAGTGGAATTCCCCTCTCCCCAGTATAGGTGTTCTTTACTGGCAGAGAAATGATTCATTGGGAGAGGTTTTGGGTCTGTGATGGTTGCTTAATTAGAGCCAAATGTGTACTGTCTTAGTGTGATGTGGTCCTTTCCAATTCTGGCTAACATAAAAGTCATGTGGGAGTTTAAAAAAACACCAACGTTTTTTCCATTAAAAATAACAGTCTGCCTTGGGGTGTTGGAGAGGACAGTAGTATTTAAAAGCTTCTCTGGTGATTCTGCTGTCCATTCGGGGTTGAGGAGGAGCATGTGTGTACAAAGCGTGCACTGCATTAGTGCTTCTCAAATTTGGGGTAACCCAGAGACTTTAATGTCAGTGCCTGCATCCATCCCCAGGAGTTCTGATTTAATTGGTCTGGGGAGTGGCATGGACATTTGAGATTTTTTAAAGCCCCTCTGGTGATTCTGATAAACAGCTGAGTTAGAGAACCACTGCTCTGATTTTTAATTTTTGAGGGGTACTTGCTCCTGAGTTGAAAACTCTTGAATACTTATATGTTTTTGCAATTTGTTATAAGAACATTAGGCAGTTGACTTGTTCTTTTTATAGCCCAGAAACATTTTTCTTCATGGCCCTGATCATCAAGTCAAAATAGGAGACTTTGGTCTGGCCTGCACGGACATCATACAAAAGAACACAGACTGGACCAATAGGAATGAGAAGAGTAAGTCTACTTTGGTGTTGGTGGTTTGTTTTTTGTATTTAAAAATAAGACATGTTGAGCCTGTCAGTTAATTTAAAGAGAGTCATAGAGACTTAATAGCAGAGTAAGTTCCCTTGGGAGCTACAGTGCCCTGCTCAGAGCCAGCATGCCTTAGGGTAGACAGTGTTAACACTGCAGTGTTTAATATTTGGCTTTTCAAATGATAGGAGCACCAGCACATACCTCCAGAGTGGGTACTTGTCTGTACGCCTCACCTGAACAGTTGGAAGGATCCGAGTATGACGCCAAGGTGGTATTTGTTGCTTCTTACCCTTTCAGTGGACTCATTCTGCCATCATAGTAACAAAAAGTACAGTAACCGCAGGGGAGGCACTCACGTGGAGGTGCTCTGGGGCATACCAGAGTATAAAATCTGGTATCTCTTACCTCAGAGTGACTCACTCTTAGCTGAATCTGGCAGCCCCGGCTTTTAGGCTACTATGTTATTTCTAAATCTGTGGGTATCCCAAATTATTTTTCAAATGAGTTTTCCCTTTAAATTGCCACTGATCACCTCAGGAAGCTAGAATTCAGAGAAGCCTGTTTTCTGCCTTTCATTCTTGTTTTCAAACTAAATGTTACCAGGAAGTGTGACACTTGACTCCCTTTAAGGAGAATGAGGATACTGGAAAGGCTCAGTCCACTTTGTTCCTTGAAGGGATGCTCAAGTAAGTCCTCTTCTCAAAATAACAGCCTAGTAAATTAAATTTCTTCCTATTTGTGACTCATTCAGCTTTTTGGTGGTTGGGAAGAGCAGCCAAAAAAAAAACCATGGCTGCTCCTAAAATCCTATCTAGTAAAGACCTTCCTAAAACAACTGTTTTTAAGAAAAGGAACACAGGTTTTTATGTAGAGTTTGTTAAACTTTACCAAGAACGCCTGAGTGTGGGCACAGGCGAGGCCAGAGCAGGTGGCAGGGGCACTCTTGGTGCCCATGCTGAGCTCAGGCCTCTCGGGTCAGGCCAGGATGGGATTTCAAGGAGCCAGTTGTGTGGCAGCAGTGCTGTGGGTGGGTATTATCCCTGCCCCTCACTGCTCTGTGCCCACAGAGGCCCCTCTTTGGTACTGAAGAGCTGGGGATTGTGACAGGACTGGTCACCTCTCCCTTAGGGCAGTGGCTTAGCCAGATGGCAGGCACTTTCCTCTGAGGAACAGAGAACAGCTCACCTGCTCTGTTCCTCTCGCTGGAGAGACTATAAAGCATCCTTCTCAGAAATCCTCCTGTGTTTGAGAGGGTGGGGCTGGCGTGTTACTGTCACTTTGTGTGGTGCTACTAACTACCTTTCCCCCCTTTTCCAGTCAGATATGTACAGCTTGGGCGTGATTCTGCTGGAGCTCTTTCAGCCGTTTGGAACTGAGATGGAGCGAGCACAGGTTTTAACAGGTTTAAGAACTGGTCAGATACCTGAATCCCTCAGTAAAAGATGTCCCGTACAAGCCAAGTATATCCAGTACTTAACTATAAGGAACTCATCTCAGAGACCGTCTGCCATTCAGCTGCTGCAAAGTGAACTTTTCCAGAATTCTGGAAATGTATGTATATATATTTTTAATGCTGGGGAAGATATGAAACTGAAACTAGAATTTGTTTACGCTGTGAATCCTATTTCATGAACAGCTGAGCTTTGAATAAGGCTTATGGAAATAGTATTTATTTAAGCCCATTCTCAGAGCTCCCAGGAGCACAGCTGTTTTCATGGTCCAGGAAAGCAAGATGACCTCTGCCAACTGCTCTTGAAGTTGTGATGATAGGCTTCCATCTCTAGCCCCATCTTGCTAAGTCAAAAGGCTTTAGTTTTTTGCCTCCAACTATGGAAAATTACTGTAACCTTTGCTAAGTTACTATAACATACTACCTAATAATGAAACACATACTAGAGGGTAGGAGATGGTAGTGATTCTCGGGGGTCGGGGCAGGGGTGGAGACCACAGCAGCTAACCGCAGGTCTCAGCGTGCACGTGTTGTCAGTCCTGTGCTGCGGTGTGGCCCAGGGCAGCCCTTCCCTCTTCTCCTGATGCTGCTACAGGGCCAAGGGGTGATCTCTAGCCTGAACACACTGGGGACAGGAGTCGTCTATTCTGTTCCTCTAGGACATTCTAAGATTTTTTTAATTTTTTAATTTGTTGTCGTTAATGTGCAATTACATGAGCAACGTTATGGTTACTAGACTCCCCCTATTATCAAGTCCCCACCACATACCCCATTACAGTCACTGTCCATCAGCGTGGTAAGATGCTATAGAGTCATTACTTGTCTTCTCTGTGTTATACTGCCTTCCCTGTGTCCCCACCCCCTACATTATGTGTGCTAATCGTAATGCCCCTTTTTCCCCTTATCCCTCCCTTCCCACCCATCCTCCCCAGTCCCTATCCCTTTGGTAACTGTTAGTCCATTCTTGAGTTCTGTGAGTCTGCTGCTGTTTTGTGCCTTCAGTTTTTTCTTTGTTCTTATGAGTGAAATCATTTGATACTTGTCTTTCTCCGCCTGGCTTATTTCACTGAGCATAATACCCTCTAGCTCCTTCCATGTTGTTGCAAATGTTAGGATTTGTTTCCTTCTTATGGCTGAATAATATTCCATTGTGTATATGTACCAGTCTTCTTTATCCATTCATCTACTGATGGACACTTAGGTTGCTTCCATTTCTTGGCTATTGTAAGTAATGCTGTGATAAACATAGGGGTACATATTGTCTTTTTCAAACTGGGCTCCTGCATTCTTAGGGTAAATTCCTCAGAGTGGAACTCCTGGGTCAAATGGTATTTCTATTTTGAGTGTTTTGAGGAACCTCCATACTGCTTTCCACAATGGTTGAACTAATTTACATTCCCACCAGCAGTGTAGGAGGGTTCCCCTTTCTCTGCGTCCTCGCCAACATTTGTTGTTTGTCTTTTGGATGGTGGCCATCCTTGCTGGTGTGAGGTGATATCTCATTGTGGTTTTAATTTGCATTTCTCTGATGGTTAGCCATGTGGAGCATCTTTTCATGTGTCTGTTGGCCATCTGAATTTCTTCTTTGGAGAAGTGTCTGTTCAGCTCCTCTGCCCATTCTTTAATTGGCTTATTTGCTTTTTGTTTGTTGAGGTGTGTGAGCTCTTTATATAATTTGGATGTAGGATGTTCTAAGATTTAACAAATACTTGACTCAAGATGTGGTTACAGATTCTCTAGTGCTTTGCTACTCAGAGTGTGGTCCTCAGCATTACCCTGGGGGTTTATTAGAAACACAGGATCTCGGCTGTGCCCCAGACATACTGGTTTGGGAGCTATGTACAGTGTCTGAGCAGCACTGCTTCTGTGCATGGTGCTCAAACTGCAGTCTCCAGACAGCAGCGTAAAATCTCCCAGAATTTGCCACAATTCTCAGGCCCTCCCCCACCCCTGACCTGACGTGTCATGGGAGAAGTCTTGTGGGGGCAAGGAGAAGCGATCTGCCTTAACAAACCCTTGAAGTGATTTTGGTGCACATCTGGGAACCACTTAGAGTAACTGTTGAGTTGGTTTCAGTCTATTTAAGGCTGAAATTTTCAAGTGTTCCTGTGCTGTTTTACTACGCTTTTCAGGTGAATTCTAGCAGCGCAAGTGGTGAACAGCTGCATGTAGTCTTTCCTGAGTCTGAAACCAGCAGCTGTGATTATTTATCACTTCATGTGAAAGAGGTTTTCTCACTCAGTGAAGGTATAGCTACTGGAAACCACAGTAATTTGGTATTTAGGGTAAGGATTTCTCCTCTCTTGTGGAATTTTTAGAAAGCAGCCTATCCATACTTACACAGATGGACTTTGGATACCCAGCAGTCCTTGCTCTGCAGGGTAGTGCAATATTGTAAATATGGCTGTGCGTAGCTCAAAGCACACGAAGGGATCTCAATCGATGGGAGAAGTTAAGAGCTGTGCTGTGGTCTTTAAAGATGATTGTGAAAATATTAGAACATTGAAAGTGTGGGTCCACTTACATGCAGATACTTTGCAATAAATATATTGGAAAAATTTTTGGAGATTTGCAATTTAAGAACATTTTTAGTTTATTGTAAGAATACAGTATATCATATATGCACAGTGTTGACTGTGTAATTGGTAAGGCTTCAGTCAATAATAGGTTATTAGTAAAGTTCAACATTGTAAGTGGATTTTTGACTGCACGTGGTAACAGTGCCCCTGACCCCCCAAGGTGTTCAAGGGTCACCTGTAATTTGAACGCTGCTGCCTTCATCACTCCGTGAACTGAGGATGTGAGTGAGCACCTTTCCTATGCCTGAATAAATCATCGTACTCCTTTCTAAGTCTGGACCAGCTTCCAGCATTTTATCTGATGTACTTTTAATGTTGGGGAATACCTCTGAGAGTTCTTTTAATGTGAAATTCTTTGCCAGTGTCACTTTCTCTGGACCATCTTCATGCTCTTTCTCCCTGTGTGGGTAAGTTGCCTCCTTAGCCCCGTGGCTGCACACCTAGTCTGTCCTGTGGCATCAGGACCCATTGCCACAGCCAGCTGGTCTTCCCTGACACCAGTTATGCTCTATTCAACTTTAACTTCCCGAGTTCTCACCTCTCGTTCCTGCACTTTCATCTCTGTTGGCCAGTTCTGTTAATGATCCATTTTTTTAAATTTGGGTTTATCACTGCGAGACAAAGCAACTACACACGTTGCTTGTGTGTGAACTAATGTGCACACTGACCAGCCCAGCCAACTTGGGAAAAAGCGGTGTGGCTGGGCCCTGACCATGACGTACATCAGTCATTTACAGGGTTTTGTGGACTGAGGTGCTACCACAGTTACAGGCAGGTACTGTGTTGTGTTAACTTGACACCTGAACTGTGTGGCTGGGTGACTGGTGTCATTTCTCTTAACTGTGCTAACTGGGATTCATGCATGTTGGAGCTGTGCAAAGCCAGTTGTGCCTGTATATTTAAAAGGGAAGAAGCTATTTTAATGGAGGTTATACTTTTCTCTTTACAGGTTAATCTCACTCTACAGATGAAGATACTAGAGCAAGAAAAAGAAATTGAAGAACTAAAGAAGCGGCTAAGCCTCCTTTCTCAGGACAGAGGGGTTAAGGATGACATACAAGATGGTGTGCCTGGCTAGTTGTAAATAATTAGGCATGAGTATGATAGTGGACTTACAAGCAAAATCATCAACTGGAATGTAAATTTTGTATTAGGGTTTAGATGGTGCAGTACTTACAGTTAGTAAGCTTGTACATGACTTATTAAAGTGGTTGTAAATAGCCCTGACCACTTTTTCCTTAAATAGCTCTATTGTGTAGTAGCATTTTGAATTTACGACTGCCCTAAACTAAGCCTCTTTTGCTTTCCTTTCTCCTATCCCAGGATTTCTGAATATTACCAATCATGCAGTCTCTCAAAGTGGAGTTCAGGTAGCATCCTTAATTTTTCTCCTTTGAACTCTGTTGACCAAGTCCTCCTCTGGAAGTTTCTTCTGCAGAAACCTAAGTATGTTCCCCATCCCATCACTGGCCAAGCCTAGGCCTGCACACCAGCTGGGCTGTTCCAGTTCTGACAGGTGCCAGTCTTCCTAACTCTTTCACGCTGCTGCCACTCCATTTCCAGAAAGACATCAGCGATTCCCTGGCTTAAAAGCTTCTGCTGGCTCCCTGCTGCCTCCAAGATAAAACTGCTTTTTAGCACAGTATACATCATCCAGCCTGCTTGTTTTCCCCTTCAGCTTAGCACTATCCCCGGTTCACGCCCTTTCAGAGCTTTGTACTTCTTGCCCCCAAAATGGTCTCAAGGCAGCTGTCAGCAGTGTTTCCTGCCTTTGCCCTACCCTGTTCCTCCCATGGCATCCTGTGTTATAGCACTTGGCTCCCCACCAGCCCAGAGTCCTCAGAGGCAGTGATGTGGTATGTCCATTTTTGTATCCTGAAGTGTCTGCCACATAGCTGGCAGTTGTTATATGCTGCACATGATGCTGAATTTTAAATAAAATGAAACCTACAAATTGCATGATGCTTTATTGATACTTTGTAACTGGCCTAAATAAAGACTGATTTTTATACAAGTCCTTTTACTGACAATAGGCATAAAACAGCACCATTCTTTTAAATCTAAGCCCTTTAAAACTAGTTACTAAAATTCACTTAAGGAGCCTGAGGGCAGTGCTGAAAGGGGCCAGGTTCTCACAGGCCCTCAGCCACTTCTGCACACTGGCTGGCACCATCTCGCTGCAGCCACCAGTCTGCTGGAGCACAGACCACAGCACGACATCGGCCGCAGTGAATTCGTTCCCCACGAGCCAGGGGCTCTTCCTGAGAGCAGAGTTCATGGAGTGGAACACAGCGGCCTTTTCTTTACTGTCTCCCTCTCTTAGCTGAAAAACTGCTGTGTCTACCCAGCTATCTATGAGGGTTAAATTTACAGCATTATGCTTCTGGCCAAACAGAGAGAACAAAAAACGGGCAATGTTGCCTTCTCCTTCGATGGGACACATTGTTTGGATGCTGAACTTCATCTGGGTCTTTGGCACTGAAGGGAGAAAAACACACCAAGTGACGTCCGCAAGAGCAGCACCCCAGAAGGACGGGCACAGCCTGGAAGGGAGTCAGTCCTCATTGGGGCCCAGGGAAAAGGGCAAGTGTGTTTTCAAGAAGAAAGCCACATTTCTAGTCTGTCTCCAAAATAAGGTGTAATACTAAAGTTCAAATTGTAGGCTTAAATAATGTAACTATATGTTAAAACAATTTCTGGTATTTGATGGTGATCGTTTTCAAGCTAGAAGGGACCTCAGACCATCTACTCCAACTCCTGTGCCTAAGGATTTTCAAGATGAGGACGGGAAACCAGGAGCCCCATCACCCAGGCTGGCAGCTCTTTCCACCCTCACAGCCACTCTGAGGGCAGTGGAGGCCTTTACTGGATGAATGGCATTCACTCCCCTCCATACAGAGTAACCAGGAGAGGCATCCATCAGTGGTACGATGAATAAACGCTATTCTGCCATCCTGTGAAGGCACTTGGGAAGATGGCATCAGTGTCCCTGTAGTGCAGGTTTTGGAATGTGGGGGTGAGGTGGCCCAGCCGCTACACCTCTGCCCCGGCTGGTCAGCCAGGACCCCCCTAACACTGTACTTTCAGTCAGAGACACTAACCCTCCTGGAGGTGGGGGTGTCTTCAGGGCAAGAGTCCCTGTGCTCCTCGTCTAGAATTACCCCACAAGCCCTCCAGACTTGGAGACAGTTTGACCGGATAGGAGCTGAAGGACATTGAGTGGGGCATGTTTCGTAGCCCACTTCTCTCTCAAACTTACCATTCTTCCAAATCAGAGTAAAACCCAGCTGATACTCATGACGGGGCCGTGTTTTGGTCTGCTCGCCAAAGCATTTGAGGAGGTTTTCTGGCACGCTCTTGATGGCTGAATGCGTGTGAATGGCAGACAGGACCCGGAATCGGTCACAGAGCAGCCTGTGCAGCACCAGCAGGGAGAGGGGTGGGGAGGCGGGGTTCGCGTTGATCACGATGTCTTTCAGGGCCCCATAGTCCTGGGAGAAACCCGAACAATGAATAACGTCAATAGCACTGGGCATGTAACGACTGGGTGCTATTCCTAGGGCCTAACCAGGGTTACTGAATGGAATCCTCAGGTCCCTACTGTCCCCCACCTCGTGGCTGAGGGAAATGAGTCCTGGGAAGTGACATCCAAGCACCCTCAGCTCCACAGGATGAGCCGACGCCAGCCCCTCAACCTCTGCTGCTGGCCCCCAACAGACAAAAAGCTGACATTTTTGTCAAGTAAAATAACATATTAGGAATGATACTTACTTGTTCCTAGGTGTGATCTAATGAAAATAAGAAATACGTATTTGATCATTCAGAGGACCAAAACACACTTCTCAGATATGTTTGGTTTTCATTCAGTCCTGAAAATGCTTCAGAGCACTACAGGTGAGACAGGCGTCTGGTTATAATGAGGGTGCTTACAGAGAAAAGTAGTGACTCTGGCATCTCACTACACTGATAGACAGTGACTGCAATGGGGTGTGGGGGGGGGACTTGGTAACATGGGTGAATGTAGTAACCACAATGTCTTTCATGTAAAACCTTCCTAAGAGTGTGTATCAATGAATGACACCTTAATAAAAAAAAATACGGACCTGAGAAAAAGAAGTAAATGAGGGTGCCTTTTGTACCCCATTCTTGGCTGGTCACCACAAGGACCAACCACATGGTTAAAGGGCCGAAGGCTGAATCAGCCAATGCCTCAGCCAATGACTATGTGACAAAGTCTCCACAAAAACTGAAGGACAGCCTTTTGGTCCTTTTTGTAGACCTTTCACTTCGGGAAACCACATTTCCACATGGCACTGAGCAGGGCCCCAAGCTCCCTAGTTGGGGACCTGCCCTATGTACCTCTTCCTCTGGCTGTTGGTTCGTATCCTTTAGCATATCCTCTAATAAAGTGGTAAATGTGTTTCCCTGAGTACTGTGAGCCATTCTAGCAAATTAACTGAACCTAAGGAGGGGGTCACTGGAACTGCCAGTCGGTCAGCAACACAGGTGATAGCCTGGGGCCTTCAACTGCTATCTGAAGTTGCAGTCTTGCAGGACTGAACCCTTAACCTGTGGAATCTGATGCTGTCTGGGTAAACAAGTGTCAGCCTGCTTGGTGGTGTGTGTGGGGGGCTTCTTGCAACACTGCACTGGGTGCAGAAACTCTAAAGACTTAAGTTAAAAAAAAAAATCACGTGCAATTACTCACTTGATGAACTCTTTACCACTTCATCACCCAACAGGGTTGTATTTCTGCATTAATATGTGTTTGAGTTGCATGTCAATCAAGAGACCCTTGAAAAGGGGTCTTGGCTCAAAATGTCACTGGTGATGGGAGGTAGGAAGAGTGAAAAGAACTGTTAACTAAAATACAAAACATGCTGCCTTTTTAGATGCAGACTCTCTCTCTCTATTCACTCTTGATAATGAATGAACCTGTGTAATATAAATGATGGCCAAATTCCTTGGCTTTCTGTACAAAGCCTGCCACAATGTGGCCTCTAATCTTGCCACTCCTGACTGAGCCATGAGGAATGCTTAGCAGTTCTCTGAACATGGTGTGTTGCTTGATGGCCAGGCCTTCCGAAGTATCAGAATTCATCCTGAGCACCCACTACATGCTCTGGGAAGCTTCCCAGCACGTGACTCATGGCACAACTGTGCATGGTGACCCCATCACTGACATATCCACACGCCTGGATCCCTGGGGGCCTGGCCAGTCTCACCGGGTGCTTGGTGCGTGGAAGATGAAGGAATACAAGAGTGCAGAGGCACGGAGGTTACAAAAACCTGAGTCCTGGGAGATGCTGCAACACCGCCTCCCCTTTTTGGGTTGTTAAGCAGTACTGTTTCTATTGCCACTTTCTAGAGGAGAGTTAGCATGCGGTTTTTGGGCAAACCCTTTGCACCCTCAAATAAATACCAGTTTGTAATAAGACTTTCTTCCTTTGCATATCAGATTGTCCCTTAAATTAGTCAAATCCTAGAGTGGTTATTAATGGCTAATGAAACTTTATTTATTAATGCAGCAAACAGAATTTAAGCCAAATAGATTTGAAATACGAGACTGTGACTGGCCTCTAGCAATGTATTTCACAAGGATTGGTGGGATTTTTGTGCCTAGAAAGACAAAACTACAATTCGGGCTAGAGTCAGGGTCAATTGCTGGACTCTTGAGAAGCACTGAGCCAACGCTGTAAAGTCTCCCTCCAGGGCTCAGCTACTGCTGGGGCGAAGCCCACCCTGGCCCGTGTCACAGGCTGCCTGGAATAGCAGGGAGCTGTAACTTGACTCCTTTCTCTGCCTGCAGATCCTGTCTGCTCTCCACAGGGTTTGAGAAGTCAAGCAGCGGCTTTAGAGCTCGCTTTGACTTTACTCAAAGCTTGCAAATCTGTTCCGTTCAATGGTATGACCATTTAGTGAGAAAAAAACGTTTTACCTCCTTTGAAAACTAGAAAACCCAGGCACAGTACAATTTGCGGGCACTAACAGCAACCTAGTGTGCTGACGTTCTTTAGCTTTCCAAATGCACTTACCTTTCCAAGCACAGAATTTAAGTCCAATGCACTGGTCGACAGAGCAGGGGGCTCATCAGCCTGGATTATGTTGGTTACATCCAAGTCTGCGTCTGGCGTCTGGATCATCTTGGACAGCCCATCAACTGCAGCTTTTAACTCGTACAGACGTTTTAAAATTTCATCTTGGCGGGACTCGAGAGCTTGAAGAGATGGGTCAGACTCTTCCTAAGCAAACCAACATCAAAACGTTCATTCCTCTGCCATCAAAGTAGTCTGCTTACATCTGATCATTTGTCTTCTACTTTGTTCCAGTCATCAAACCTCTTTGCATATCAGATTGTCCCTTTGTCAAATCCTAGAGTAGTCATTAATGGCTGATGCAACTTAATTTTAATACAGCAAACTGCATTTATGCCAAATAGGTTTGAAATTTGAGACTGTGATATCTGTTCTATGCAAAGAATATATTTTTAAAAGAATATAATAAAATGAAGTAGCAGAATCAACTCATTTTTCCCACAGTCCAACAGATCTTGGCAATTTATCCACAAATGCTTTAAAATAAGTAAAAATGTGACTTAAACCACTTTGAAATTGTATGACTCATTTCAGGTAATTGATTCAGTTGGAACAGGAAAGGACAGAAAATGAAAACAAATTTTTGTTCTTTATTCTTAATATAAACTAGTTCAAAATACTTTGCTAGAATAGATGGGGGGGATAAGAACATAATTTATACTAACAGAAGGAAAAAGGAAGAACACACAGGTTTAAAAAAAGTGTCCTCTGACTTGAAATACGTCCATGGCTGAATTCCCCAAATCATTCTCAAGGCAGCACTGCCATTGTAGATAAAATGAAAATTCCTTTGGCCAGGATTCTCACCTGGCCCTGATCGGCTAGCTCACTACACACGTGTGGGCAATACCTTGCTAATGAC